AATAAACAAGTGCCTAAAAATTCATATGCTAGTATTCTTAGGACCAATACAGTCAACAATGATACAAATTTTCCACAAAATTCACAACCTTCTACTTCCTCCCAGGGAAATAATTTTGCTAAATTTATATTTAATCCTCACACAAACACCAGTAGGCCAAATAAAAGGCCGAAACCAAATATTTCAGACCCAACTGATATAGCTAGAAAAGAAATAATATCTACAGTTTCCCCTCCAAAACATCCTGAGGGAATAGTTAAAAGTCAATTCTACCAAAAAAACTTAAACATTGCAGATTCACGGTCAGAAGAATTAAATTCTTCTGTAATAAATGTCATTTTAGATTCGGTTCTTACAATTGTTAATTCAATTAAACAAAATAATAATTTTAATATTTCAAAAGCTGATGTAATTCAGATAATTAGTAACCATTTTAACCAAAATCTAACATCAAATTCGCAGACTTAAATAAAATAAATATTTTACAGTGGAACTGTCGTTCAGCAGTTGCGAATAAAGAGAATTTAGAATACTTACTTCATCAGAACCACATTACTATAGCTCTATTATCTGAAACCTGGTTCAAACCGGGAAAATATTATAATTTTAAAGAATTTAATTGTGTTCGAGCTGATCGCCCTGATGGATATGGCGGTTGTGCCATTCTTTTGAAATCCAACATAATATATGAAGAAATAAATTTTCAAAATACGTATTCGTTTACATATAAGTGTATTTCAATAAAAATTGCACATTTCAAGAAACCTTTACATATAATTTCTCTATATAATGAACCCAGGAACAAAGTTTTAATTCAGCAATGGATCAGTTTTTTAGAAAATATACCAAAACCATTTATAATTGGAGGCGATTTTAACGCACACAATTTGGCATGGGGCTGCGAAATTGATGATAGATTAGGTAAAGATCTTCTAGATGCTATAGAATACTGTAATTTAGAATATTTAAACGACGGGTCCCCCACTCTTGCTATTTCCAATAAACCTTCTGCTGTAGACTTAACCATTTGTTCCCGAGATATTGCCTCTCATTTTCGTTGGAATACTCTACAAGAACCTTATGGATCCAATCATGTCCCAATTATTTTGTCATCACAAAACTTCTCCGCAGCAAAAGCCACCTCCAGTAGAAAACATAGAATATGGAACCTTAGCAGAGCCAATTGGGTGATATATACCAGTGCTTTGGAAGCAATGAAAATACCATTAATCTACGAAGAATTATTAACAAATATAAACCAGGCAGCCAACGTCGCTATCCCAAAACATTCTTCCAATAAAGAAAAAAACAACGGTCATATTCCGAAACCATGGTGGAACAATCATTGTCAGTTAGCAGCTGAAAATAGAAAACATGCATTTATAAATTATAAACAGAAACCAACACTACAAAACCTAATGGAGTATAAACGACTAGATGCTATTGCAAAGAAAATCTTCAAACAGAAGAAAAAGAAGAATTGGATTGAATTTTGCGAAAGTCTAAACTCAAGAACACCAATAAAAGATGTCTGGCGAAAAGTTAATTGTTTTAAAAACCGCAAACAAGCCAACAAAGTACCCATTGATCCAGAAGATAGATGGTTGCAGGAATTCCATAGAAAAATTGCCCCTGCATGGGTTCAAATGACGACACTGAACAAGAATATATCCAAACGGTACCCAGACAAAATCACAATTTTGACGAAAATTTTCATTTATGGGAATTGCATCGAGCCCTTGAACAAAGAAATAATACTTCTCCAGGTATTGACAATGTGTCATACTCACTGTTATACAACTTACCTATAGAATATAAAAATTCACTAGTACACATTTTCAACAATATTTGGACAAATAAGACACCAGTACCGAATAGTTGGAAAGAGTACCTGATAATTCCGATTAAAAAACCTGGCAGACGAGAACGTGATCTAAGTTCTTACCGACCTATCTCCTTATCTTCATGTCTTTTAAAAACATTTGAGAGAATAATTAAAAATAGATTTGAACATTGGCTAGAACACGATGGTATACTTCCAAGTTCCCAATATGGTTTTCGCAAGTCTAGGTCCACTCAAGATGCAACTACAGCTCTAGTTACTTCAATTCAGCTTAATTTTACGTCAAATAAGTCTACAGCAGCTGCGTTCCTTGACATTTCTGCTGCTTTTGATAATGTCAATTTAGACATTCTTTACCAAAAAATGTTGTATATTGGAATCCCTAGATCATTTGCCCTCTTTTTAAAATCTTTATATTCTAACAGACTAACTTTTTTAAAAATTAATAATGAGGAATTTTCATACCCCCGACTAACCAATATTGGATTGCCACAGGGGAGTATTTTAAGCCCGATTTTATATATCCTGTACAACATAGATCTTGAAGTTAGTATACCCAACCATACAAAAATTCTTCAATATGCTGATGATGTTGTTTTATATACAGCAGGAAAATTGTTAAGTACCTGTGAGGATAATTTGAAAGCCACATTAGAAATCGTAAATCAGTACTATGAAGAAATAGGATTATCAATTTCTGACACAAAAACTGAGGTGTGTTACTTTTCACAAAAACATAGAGTTCCACAAGGCAATCTTAATGTGGGAAAATTTAATTTTCCTATAAAAAACTGTATTAAGTATCTTGGTACCTATCTAGACAGAAAATTATTATGGAAAGATCACATTCATCAAATTGTTAAAAAATCAGAAAGCTCATTAAACATTTTAAGAGCTTTCTGTAAAACAAATTGGGGAGCAGACCCAAATATTGCTTTGATGTTTTACCGTAACATGATTAGGCCAATTTTCGACTATAACTGTCATTTATTTGGATCAGCGACCAATACACATCTAAACAAACTTGAAGTTCAAAAAAATAAATGCCTGAGATTATGCCTAGGTTATTTAAAATCCACTCCAGTCCAAATAATGGAAATTGAAGCGGTGGAACCTCCATTGCATTTACGCCGCCAATTCCTTAGCGACAAATTTACAGTCCGAATTATGTCCAAAAATTGTAAATACCTGCAAGATCTTAATGAGCTATCAGTTTTAGACCTCACTCATAGATACTGGAGAACTAAAAAATCTATACCTTTGGTAGAAAGCTATCTAAGTACGATTAAATATAACGATATTCTCTATACAAGCCAAATTCCGCCCTACTACGGTGAAATGGCAAAAACACTATTTTCTAAAAAGGTTAAAATATGTTACTTAAACTCACATTTACTCCCAAATATGTTTGATATAATTATTAAAGAAAAATGGACAAACTATCAGTACATTTTTACTGATGGGTCAAAAGATGCAAATGGAACGGGCTGTGCAATGTTCCACGAAAATAAAAATTACCATCACCAGTATAGCTTACCCAGTGAATGCTCAATATACACAGCAGAAATGATGGCAATAATGTTTGCTCTTCAGTATGTAGTACTGAAGCCGTCTAGCAACTATGTTATATTTACTGACAGTAAAAGTGTGGTCGACAGATTCAACAACATTCAAACAGCCAAACATATAAACCACATTGAACTGAAAATTCTAAAAATTCTTTCTGAAACTATACAATTAGGACTAAATGTAATAATTACATGGATCAAGGGCCATTCAGGAATAAAAGGCAATGAGATCGTTGACAATTTAGCTAAATCAGCATATATGCTTGGAGAAAAAGTAAACAAAAATTTAATTCCAACGACAGATATTGACACCGTTAGTAGACAAAAAGTTAAAAATAATTGGCATTTACATTACAGAGAATGTAAGACGGGCTTAAACTTTTATCATTGTAACACTAGGATACCCTCAAAAAGATGGTTTTACACAGAATCTAATCGACATTTTATAAAGACCATTAATCGGCTGAGAGCAAATCATGCTCTTACGCCATCTTACATGAATGGAATCGGCTTATCAAATACTCCCAATTGTACTTGCGGCAAAATAGGCGATCTAACACATATTATATTAGAATGTGATTTACAAATGAATAATATAAACGAACTTTATAAGGAACTAATAAATTCTAAGTGTTGTTTTCCAATAAACCTCAATATTTTATTATTTTCAAATAATATGGAAATTCTTCATTGCATTTACAAACATGTTAAAATATGTAAATACAAGTTGTAAATAGTATATAGTCATAATCTGTTAAAATGGTTTCAAAAATAAAAACAAAAAAAAAAACAAAAAAAAAAACAAAAAAAACGTATACCACAAATTAATAAAAAAAAAAAGAATTAAGAAAATAGAAATAGAACAAAAACAAAAGATAAATACAAAAAAAATAACAAAAAAAAGAAAAAAACAATACAAAAAACAAAAAAATTAAACAAAAAAAAAACAAAAAAAAAGAGAAACAAAAACAAAAAAAAAAACTAGAAAACAAAAGAATAAAAAAAACAAAATAAAAATATATCAAAACAAAATTTATGTATCTATAAAAATATTAGGTATATGTAGTAATAACATTGATAACTGATAAGAAAATTTTGACTATGAATCTGCAATCTATAATAATTAAAATTCAGTCGATTTTAACAATCAACACAAACAAGTCTGGCTAATTGGCTCTGCCAAAGCCATTTTTCAGGAAAAAAAAAACTTATTCATAAACTTTTTAGAAAGAATAACGTTTTTTTCATAAAACTAAAAATAAAAAAGGTTTTCCATATGATGCCGACAATACCGTCAAGCATCAACCCCAAATAAGATCGTGTACCTACGAGGAACAATGCTTTTAGTCGATCTGTAGATTAGTGTGGATCTGTGTACTAGTTAGGTAATGGATTAGTTAATAAAACACCATTTAACTGCCTATTTGTGTATAAGTAAATATCTAAGAATAAATTTAGCATACATAGATTTTAAATTTGACATTACAAAGCGGCTACATTTGCAATAAAATAATAAGTAATTTGCTACCAACTAAATTTGTACCAACAAATATGTTACAATGCTAAGGTAACATGTATCACTACATAATTCACAGTATAAAAAATAAAAGTATCACAATTACAAGAATTACAACCAATATTATTATAACGGTCCATTGCCTTCCATCTATAAAAGAAAAATAAAAGATTAGATTTTATAAATAAATTAAATAGAACTATAGAATAATTAAACCGATACAATGGAATATTGACGGATCTAATAGAATTCTTGAATATAGAGAAATAGCTTTCATAAATGATATAAACATTGGCGAAGAAAAACCTTTAAGTTTTATGATATGAAACACCAACTAGAAGCAAGCAAGCAAGCGTCTTGTTTAAGTGCCTTCTCCGAATCGGATGTTGGATATCACTGTCGTTACTCTATATACCGCTGATCTGAAGAGTTCTGTTGAACTGCATCTAAACCAGCCTCTTAAAATGTTCAACCATGACACTCCTTTTTCCTATACTCGTTCCTCCTCTTATCTCAGATATTATAACTTTCTTATTTTTATTGTATTTATTATTTCGTATTATTTGCCCATTATGTGTTTTCTTCTGTGTCCATGCTATTCTAAGCATACTTCTCTAACACAACATTTCAAATGATTCTAGATTATTTCTGTGTTCTTACTTCAGTGTCCAGCTTTCGAGTCCATATTATAGTATTGAAAACACGTAACATCTTAGAACTGTTACTCCGAGTTCTGATGTGAGCTCTTTATTACAAGAGAATTTTTTAAATTTTTTACAAACGCATTTCTTGCTTATTCTGGCCCTTGTTATCTGAAATCCAGATTCCCAGGTATTTGTATTTCTCAACCCTCTCTATATCCCAAATACATGTTTTTTTGTATATTTGTTTGCTCGGTTATTATGATGTAATTAGTCTTTTTTATATTCATTTTTAGTCCCTATTTGTCACAGTAACTGTTTGTTTTGTTTAGTAGTAGTTGAAGTTGTTCAGCAGATTTGCCACAATCACGATGTCATCTGCATATCTTATGTTGTTAATAGTTCTTCCATTAATTATTATTCCGTCACTTTCAGATAGAATGCTTCTTCAAAAATAGATTCACATATACAATCATTATTAATCTACATATAATATATCCCTGCCTAATTCCTCTGATTTCAATTTCTGAATTGAGTTCGTTATCTATTACAATTTGTGCTCTTTGATCCCAGTAAAGGTTTGTTATTATTCTAGTTGCTTTGGTCTTTATTTTTTGTCTGTAGAATTTGGATTAATTTTCATGTCTTACTTTGCTAAAAGCTTTCTCAAAATCAACGTAACAAATATGCACATCCACATTTATATCCATGCATCTTTGAGCTATCACATTAAAAGAGAAAACGCCTCTCTGGTTGCTAGTCCGTTTCGGAATCCAAGCTGGATATCATCTATTCCTTGTTCTAGTTTTTTATTTATACGACCATGTAGTATTTTCAAGAATAATTTGAGAATATGACTTATTAATGATAAAGTTCTGTATTCACTGCATTCTTTAGCGTTTTTATTTTTAGGAATAGCGCAAAAGGTGGAGAGTAACCATTGGTTCGGTATATGTCTTGTTTTGTATGATGTGTATGTATGTTTTGTGAAACAAGTCCACTATAATGTCTAAGGTTTCATCATTTATGCATTTTAAGCTTTCTACTGGGATTTGGTCTGGATCTATCCTTTGATATTTTTTAATGCCATTTTAATTTCCTCTTTTAATACCTTTGAAATGACACCATCAAATTTTTCGTTAATATTCAACATTAGTTTTCCATTTATATCTTTCAGTATTCCCTGTTTTCTTTTTCTATTATTGTGAGCTAATTCTTTCATTTTGTGTGTGTATTAAAACTGTGATCTCTTTTCTGGTATTCTTCTATTTCTGCACATTATTCTTTTAACCATTCTTCTTTTGCTCGCTTAATTGTGTATTTTATTTGTTTATCCACTTTTTTGTACATCTGATGATCTTTGATTTTATGTTTTCGTCTTTCTTCTATCAAATCTAAATTTCTTTTTGAGTTTTATCTATTTCTGTCTTTATTAATAACAATTTTATATCTGTTTCACTATTCTGTAGAATTTGTTCTTTAACATTCATTAATCAATTATTTATTGATTCCATCTGTCAGATGTTGTCTTAAGAGTGGATTCATTCATTTACTTACATCGATGTGTGCATCTGTTGTTTTTCGTTGTATTATTGTCATTTTGATCTAATTTTGGTGACTACTGGATTCTGATGTGATATAATTGCGTTCCTGTCCTATCTTTGTCTAACTAACACAAAGTCTATTTGGTTTCTTATAATTCTCTCTTCTTGCTCTGTTGGTAACTTCCACGTATATAGTCTTTTCTTTGGCAGTTTAAACAATGTTTTTGCTAGAACAAAATTATTGTTTTGGCAAAATTCGACGTAGTTCAGATAGTAGATAGTGGATTCGTACTCTACATAAACATTTTCAGGAGTTAGTTTTGTTAAATTTACGAACTGATTTGGTATTCCTAGCTCTTTCATTGATTTGAACATTTCCCTTCTATTAACATAGTCGTAGGCTGCTTTGTAGTCTATAAATATGTGATGAATATCTATGCCATATTCCAGTGTTTTTTTCTAAAATTTGTCTCAGGGTTGCAATCTGATGAATCGTCGATTTACCACCTCAGAAACCAGCTTAGTATTTTCATACTATTCTACCTGCATATAATAATATAGTATACCATATGCTATACTTTTCTAATACTAATTGCTTTACACAATACTATACCACCATACGGTGGCATAGTATTGTGGAAAATATTTTATACCCAGCATTTAGAGGCGTAAATTCCTCTGTGGTTAGAGCATTTAAAGATATCTCCTTTTTTGTGAAAGGTGCAAAGTATTCCAATATTCCAATCACTGGGGAGGGACTTCTGTGCCCATTTTTCTTTTAAGAGTTGCTGTAGTGCCAATGTGGTATCGTGGTCACTTTCTTTATATAGTTCAACTGGGAGATTATCTATTCCGGGTGATTTGTTTCTGGATTGTTTTCTGGAAGTAAATTATTTTCTATAAAAAATCGCGGATAATGAGGACTTTCAAATTAATCTCGCAACTGTATCCAATTATGGTAAGAAATAGAAGAAATTTGTCTTTATACAGCACACGCCTAAGCTCTGTCTAATTGTAAACCGATTTTTCCATTCGGCTCTATTCTTTACCACTATCTTGGTGCGAGTTTGCCAGACCGATTTTCCTGGTATCGTTATTAACAGCATCCTAAGCAAGCTAGGTCTACCTCGTCGTCTAGTTTCCCTGGTTTCGCCAATAGAGTATTAAGGTTCTGTATACCATTATCTTTGTTTTTCTTGTTAGACAATGGCTTCTAAGGTGTTCAAATAACTTCTGTTTGCAAGCGTTATTTTTCGGTTTATATCTTCCGATATTATGTTCCTGCTGTTTTCGATGCCTCCTACGTGAAAGAACTGTTGCATCACCAAAATTTTAGTTAGCAATGTTAAAGTTTTATCCCATGTTTCTGTAGCGTGTTTCTGATGCTATGAGATTCGTTTTGCTTTCGTTGATCTTTAGATCCATATTATTTTCTGCATTTGAGAGTCCAGCGAATATCTCCTTGAAATTGCGGGTCGTGCGTACGACTAGGTCCAAGTCATCTGCATCTCTTACAACTTTCTTTAGCTCAATATTAAAAAAGGAGACACATAATCGCATTTCCCTCCATCAGTCCTCTGTTGGTGTTAAAATCTTCAGAATTTTGGATTTCTACTTTACATACAATGTAACTTGTCTCCTAGTACGCTACCATACACTAATTTGAAATCTACGAACAGGTAGATGGCTTTTTCAAGCATAGACTGACCGGGTCTGAATCCATTTTGCTACTCTCACTCAGAATTTCTTCGGGCATGTGTAAATTATTTTATAGAGTACTTTATACAGTATAGGAAAAAGTTTATGGTCGGTATGGACCTTACGTGAGATGGAGTGAGAAACAGCTGTTTAGAAAGAGAGAGGTACATTAGGTCCGCCCTTTATATCGCCAAACATGCATGCCTGGAAAGGGGAAGTTCAACGTTGCCAAACTTATTGGATTTATTTGACCTGTTGTTTTTTTTGCATTTGAACAATGTTCTAAGATAATCCAATTTGGGCGAAATTGATTTAAATGGCAGATTACTGTTTTTTATTGGGAATATGCCACAAGTTTACTTTACAATAAGTGTAATATAACATTTTGATTTCCACTTGAGAAATCGTTTTATATAAATAAAATTTATTAATGTTTCGTATTTTAAGTATGATTTCCGAATTAAAAATCTAAACATCAAAATAAGCTTATTTTAAAGTCACATTGTGCCTTATTCTCAATATGAAATAATAAACTGCATACAATAACGCCACAATAAAAAATATTCATACACAATAATTATTTGGCAACGTCGGTCTGGTTTGGCCGACCGAGTAACGAGTAGTAGAGGTGGGTCGTGGTAATTTTATCGTTAAGAGCGTAGACACAAAATTTCGTTCCAATATTTTTTAAATGCATTAATTTTTTGCGAATTCTGAGAAAACTAATAAATATTTTTGAAAAATTTATACGCAGAATGAAACAATACATTATTCCCGAGGACCGAAAGTCCCTGAAAACTTCTATGTTTATTTTAATAAGTTATAGGGGTGAAAAAAAAATTAGTGTGATTTTTAATTTCAAATATCTCATTCAAAAACCTTTTTGTTTATTCTAAAGGACTTTCGGCCCTCGGTAATAATGTAATCTTTTATTCTGCATTTAAATTTTTCAAAAATATTTGTTAGTTTTCTAAGGATTCCAAAAAAAAATTAATGGATTTAAAAATTAAAATTTTTGTAAACAAGTAACTATGATTGTTTAAAAGTAGTTTTAAGTAAGAGATTACCTACATAAACAAACATAATGGCTATTATCGTTTATGTGTATATTTATTGAAGTGAAAGAAACTAATGATTTATTTATTATAACTTGAAAAATAAACTAAACAATACAAATAGTAACTTGTACTTACATTTACATTACACGTTATTATTAAATCGCTAATAGTCTAAATTGACATTCAAAAACATAAGTTTTTCAACTTTACTTCTTATTAACCGTCTTCTTTTTTTATTTCAAATTAAACCAGATTTTGATAATGTGTTCACATTTACAATACTAATAGTGGTTAAGTTAGGATATACATTGGGATGGTTTTTCCACCGTTGTAATGGACTCTCGATTCAGGTGTACGTGTGAGCCATCTCCAATTAATTGATCAAAAATACACCATGGATTTAAGTCATCTTTATTGGTTTCTTTTTCTTGTACTGGTTGATTTTCAATAGTACAATCTTCTTGTTCGTTAATTATAGAAGTAACCAGCTTCTTAACTTTTTCTTTAATTTTTTTATCTTCATTTTTATCAGAAAAACCCTACACTTTAAATGGTGAATCCATAAATGTACATAATAACAATGTGCCACTCTGTTCTATCCCTTTAAATCTTTTTGCTAAACCCGATATTAGTAATTGTACTACGTCGGATACTATGGATGTAAGGTTTGCTAAACCTTAATGCTAAATTTACCGTTTGCTAAAATTTTATTGCAAGATTCTTGCAGGCAGCGTACCATAACAATCACTGAACTACCCTTCAAGTATTTTTGGTCACTCATTGTACTTGTTATTTCTTTAAACGGCCGTAAAATTTGGGAAAGCTGAGAACAAATAATCCAGTGTTATTTATTTAGATTTGGTTTAAGTCTGTATTATTTAATACCGATGAGGAACGGATTGCCTCTTCTAACTAGGTAATTGTTTTTTTAACATGTAGTAGGTGAAGTTCTACCTAGTTTCCACGTCTTGGATTGGCCGTTTGGGAACTTTGTTATGTTGTAATTATTACTTTAAAAGTCTTTCTGAAGATAAGGTACTTTTTTTTAAATGTGTTTTTTTGCAGAATTGTCGAAAATAGGATTTTTTATTTTATCTATTATCAAATCAGTTTTGACATATCATTCCTGAAGTAATGAACCTGACAGTTTTTCTTGTTGGCAGTTTATATCCAGGAATCTACCCTGCAAACTTTTTAAAAGCTGGTTCTTCACCTATGGAAAACGGATGAAACGAGTCTTTGCATAAATTTAGTAAATCTTGAAAATCAACTAGTACAAGAAAAAGAAACTGATAAATATGACTTAAGTCCATGGTGTATTTTTGATGAATTAATTGGATGTGACTCATCTAAACGTACACCTGTATCGAGAGATATAAAAGAAGTCGACATGTATTTGTCTGATGATATATTACCCACAAAAAATTTCGAACGGTCCTAACTTAACCACTATATTCATAAAATATTGTAGTATTGTAACAAAATCTTTTCCTTGTGAACACATGTTTAAAATCTGGTTTAATTTTAAATAAAAGAAGAACACAGTTAACAAGAAAAGTGGAAAAACTTGTTTTTAAATGTCAATTTAGACGATTCGCGATTTAATAATGTGTAATGTAAATGTAAGTACTATTTGTATTGTTTAATTTATTTTTCAAGGTATAAGAAATATATCCTTCGTTAGGTTTTTTCACTTCAATACTTATACACATAAATGATAATAGCCAATATGTTTGTGTACTCGCTAATTTGAATACTGGTAAACAATCAACTAGTTACAGTTTATGAAAAACGGTTCCGATAAAAATTTAAAAAACGAGAGGACCCACCTCTAGTTTTTTAGGTATATTAGGATCAGAACCAGAGAATATGTAAAATATCTCTGATCGGAACTATTCGTCTCACGAATGAGCAATGAGTGTTAAAAATATTTATGGAGGGGAGACCAAGGGGAAATATGATTGTTATCTTTGTCTATTCGCTGAAAATATGATTTTATATCTGCGTTAGATATCCTGTTAAATTTTACCATACCGACCATAAACTTTTACCTACACTGTATATTGTATTCAATAGGGTTAACACCCTGTATTTTATCATTCAAGCTGATCGCCATTTTTTTGTGTAATGGACACAGTGAATCGAGATTCCATTCTTCGGGCATTATCTCTTCTTCTCATACTCTTGGAATCATTTTGTGTACTTAGTTAAGTGTTCTCCTCCATATTTTAATTTTACGTAAATTTCATAATTTTCTAGTACTTTGTTGTTCGTTACTTTCTGGATTGGTTGGTCAGTTGCCTATAAGGTCGGTGGATCGACTTCATTCTCATTTAAGTCAAGGTGTAATTGCATATCTAGAGCAATATCATCAGTGCATAGCAAATGCTGTTTCATCAACCTCTTAAGGATTTCCCCTTATTAGCTATTATATTTCCTGCCTTGTCTCTGCACAGATTTAATCTCGGTTTAAATTCTCTTCTTGTATTCTTGATCATTCTACCGAGGTTTGTTGTTTCGTTCTGATTTCTTAGGACTTCCAGTTCTTTCAGCATTTTAGTCGCAAGTTTCCTTTTATTTTTCTTGTGGACATATTTCTCACCTCTTCTAATCACAGTATATTCATCAGTTACTCCTGTTTTCCTTTTGTTATACATACCTATATCCATTGTTCTTCTTTCTTGTGGAGTGCTCACATTCAACGTTAAACCAATACATCAGTGCTTTTAGGCAACTCTTTCCTTCCTAGGATTTGATTTGCAGCATGTTTTACGATTTATTGACCTGCATTCTAGTTTAGTGTGGGCTCGCGCTACATCCATGGTAGTTATGAGATCATTTATCTGTTGGTAATATCTTTCCGTCGTTTGTTCGTCTTTTATCTCTTCGCTCTTACATCGTTCGTAATCTTTGCACGTATTATTTCTTCAACCCCTATTATTTCAGATATATGATATATTGATTAAATAATGAAGTTATTTACATTATTATAGTGAATTTTCTTACCATTTGAAAGACGTAGTACTTTGGCAACCTTTTGTATCGTAGAATCTAATTTAGAATCAGTATTTTCTAGGTCCGTTCCTAGCTCGTCCAACATTCTAAAAAATAAAAAAAAAATAAATCTTGCGATTGAAATAACGGAAGAAAAATTAATTGCACCTATTACATATAAATATATTTTAATTAACAAAAAAATTACTATAAAAACGTAAAAAAAAGTAAAAACTTCTTGTGTAAAATGGTATAAATTTATCAAAATTTTTTATCATTTTTTTTTTCAATTTTCAATTTTTATCCAAAATTTGTTCATTGTGAATGCTGTCTTTGATTGATTGGACAAGAAATAAAAGTTTTTGTTGGGGGGTAAATATTGTCCTTATTCTCTTGATTATAGAATTTTGTCGATGTTGTCATGTAAGGAAGAAAGGCCTTCGTATGATGAGGGCCTGAGTCTTTGGCTTGAGATTGAGTCTTCTTCTTGATGTGCCTATCCGTTACGAATCTTGGCGATCATCATGGCAATCTTTATTTAATCTGCAGCAGCGCGGAAAAGCTGCACATATGTTGTATTTAACCAGAATCTGAGTTTCTTTAACCAAGATGTTCTTCTTCTTCCTGGATCTCGCTTTCCAAATATTTTTCTTTGCAGGATGGCTTGAAGGAGAGCATATCTGGATTCATTTCACATAATATGTCCAAAAAATTGTCACTTTCGAGATTTGATGGTGGTCATTCTTATCCATTCTTCTGAGGATCTCCTCATTTGTGACTCGGTCAGTCCACGGGATCTTAAATATTCTCCGATATAGCCACATCTCAAATGCTTCCAGTTTTCTACATATATCTTCATTCAAGGTCCACTATTGAAAACCATAAAAAAATGATAGGGAAGACGTAGCATCACAGCATTCTGATTTTTGTATCAAAAGGGAGCTGTGACTCTTGAAGAAGGTCCAAATCCGATTGAAGCTGGATCTAGATTTTCCGATGCGTGCTCTAATCTCCTGGTTGTTGGTCCATTCTTCATTTATTAAAGTGCCGAGGTAATTGTAGTGCGTCACTCTTTCTACAGGGGTTTGGTTGACGTAGAGTTGACCTTCTGTTACCCTTTTCTTGCTAATTATCATAAGCTTTGTCTTCTTAACGTTTATATTGAGTCCATATTGTTGACTGTAATAAATGATTTTGTTCATAAGAACTTGTAGGTCTTCTAAGTTGTCCGCAAATACTATGGTGTCATCAGAATATCTGATATTGTTTAGCCGGTAACCATTTAGTAGAATACTTTTTTCAGTTTCGTGCAAAGCTAAGCTAAATATTATTTCAGATTACATATCAAAGATTAGAGGAGACAAAATACAGCTTTGCCTCACTCCACGCATGATTTGCACATAGTCAGTGTGTTCTTCTTTAACTCTGAGATTTGCTGTCTGATTCCAGTAAAAATTTCTAATTATTTTCAGATCTTGGTTGTTAATTCCTGCTTCTTTTAGTATTTGCATCATCTTGGCGTGCTGTACTCGATCAAACGCTTTCTCCTAATCAACCAGACATGCGTATAGGTCGCAGTTGACGTCTCTGCATCTCTGGAATAAGACTTGTATTGATAACAATTGGTTGGGGGAAAAAACTCTTATGAATTATCTTTAGAAACGATGTTACGAGATGACTCATTAGGCTTATGGTACGGTAATCTTCGCATTTTTTGGCTCCTGGTTTTTTTGGAAGTGCAATAAACTCAGATTTCAGCCATTCAATTGGTATTTCTCCAGAGTTGTATGTGTTGTTGAATATCTTAGCGATTATTGCTATTGATTTGTTGTCCATGAGTTTAAGTAGTTCTGCTTGTATATTATCAGGGCCTGCCGCTTTGCCATTATTTAACTGTGTTATTGCGGAATAAACTTCCTGCTGTAATACTTTTGGTCCATCACTTACCTCTTCTTCTAGCTCAAAGGTGTTATCTATTTGGTCTTCAAATACTTTTTATAGATATTCTTTTCACGTTCTTATTTTACTCTGTCCAAGATTATGTTTCCGTCAGAATCAGTTATATTTCCTTCCCCCCTGTGAGTTCTTTAACTTTCCTATGTATACTGTGACTATCGTACTTTGATTGCAGTCTCAATTTCTTGGCATCTTTCCCTTGCTTCTTTTTCTTTCGCTTCTCTGATTTTCGTTCTTATTAATATATTTATGGTTTTATATTGGCTGGGTCATTTTTGGCTTCTCTTCTCTCGTCCATTAGTTTCAGGATCTGATCTGTCATTCATGATTTTTTTCTTCATTAATCTATCTGTCTAAGATTGACTGGTAGATTGATACCTGTAGATGCTTCTATTGTTGTGATTTTCGCGGTAACCGTTTTGGATACCATCGTTCATATTGATTCCAAGCTTCGAAACATCGAAATCAACCAACCAATTTTAACCCACTTCGAAAATTTGGCTAAAATGGCTAAAGAATTTTAGCCATTGCAATCGCAGACTTGAGATACTTTATGATGCTACAAAAAGCATAGTGTGCTGACCTTCTTCTTCTAATGGCGCTACAACCCTTTGTGGGTTTTGGCCTGTTTAACAACGTTCTTCAAATCTGCTCTCTCGGATACTTTTCTTCACCACTGCCTGATGTTCATGGCTTTAAGATCATCTACATTGTCTATCCATCTTTCACTGCTGTCATTTATTATTGAGCCTACTTAGGGAAAGGCGGAGGCAAATTCGTAGGTATGGTCGTCTACCTGCAGATTCTCATGTCGATATGACTTGTGCACTCCATATATTTTGTTTTCGTTTCATTTATATTTAGACCAAATGCAGCGGCTTCCCTTTTCAAATCTATAACTTTTTCACTTAATACCCTTCTATTGCGATTTATTAAGGCAACATCATCAGCATATGCGTATATTTGAGTGGATTTTGTATTAATACAACCGTTCATATATAGTTTTTTGATACTAGCTTCCAAAGTTAGAATAAAAAGTCTTGTTGATAATGGATCGCCATTTTCAATTTCATATTCCCCCCAAATTATATCTCCATCTATTCTCAGCATGATTTTGGAATTGTCTAAAGTCATTTGTTTAAGTTTGACTAACTTTTTCGGTATTCCTAACGTGGATGGTTGTTTTAACATTTTTTGTCTATCTACACCATCAAACGCCGGTTTTAAATCAATATACAAGTTGTAAATTGGCAGAGTAATGCGCTGATAAATAATAGTAAATATGTGGACGATTCTGTCATTATAGCTAACAGCTTTGAAGACCTGTAGAATATACTAAAAAGAATGAGTGAATTATCTGAAAACTGCGGATTAAAACTTCTTCTTCTTTGGGTGCCGTGTCCGTATTCAGACGTTGGCCGTCATAATGTTTACAATTTCCTGAAACCTTTCTCTGTCGGCTGTTGCGCGAAATAATTCTTCTACTGTGAAACCACATCATTGTCTAATATTACGCAGCCATGAAATAGCATAGAAAATAGCTATAGAATATTACGCAGCCATGAGGATTAAAACTAAACGCCCCAAAAACAAAATGGATGATAATTAGGAAAAAGAAAACATTGACAAAAAATCTAATATTGAATGGAATACCTATTTGCCTAGATACGTAGAAAAGTTTACATAACTGGGAACAACTATCCATAATGAATGGAATATGACAACGGATCTTAGGTCCAGGATTAAAAAAGCAAGATCAAACTTTATTAAGATCTTCTTTTTATGCAGATATGACTCTGTCTGTTTTTCAATGTGCCTCCAGTAAGTTGTCGTCCCATCGTTTTCGTGGTCTTCCTACTGATCGTCTTTCTATTGGGGAACCGTTTCTTACCATGTTTACTACTCTTTGTTGTCATTCGGGTTATATGATCGTTCCATTCTACTCTTCTGTTTCCTACCCAGTATTCGGTATATTTGTGTTCTCCACCTTGCATCTACGTCGTATATCTGTACTGCTAGCTCTGTCCCATAGTGTCTTGCCATAAATGTTTCCAAGTAATTTCATCTCTGCTGTTTCTAACATCCTTTATGTCCTCTGTGTGTCAGGTCGTGTTTCTGCTGCATGTTGTTATTGGTCTGATGACTGTTTTGTAAATTCTGCCTTTCATTTCTTTCCAGATATTTTTATTTCTCCATATTTTTTCATTCGGGCAGCCTGAGGCTCTGTTTGCTCTATTCGCTTGATCTTTCACTTCAGTTTTGAGCTTTCCGTAGCTAGATAATGTGATGCCTAGAAGTGTAAACTCCATCACTTGTTCTATTATCTGACCTTCCAGTTCAAATTTACATCTTAGTAAATTTGCTGTTGTAACCATGCATTTTAACTTTTTTGGGGAAATTAACATGTTAAATTTTCTGGCAGAAATGTTAAATTGCTACAGCATACGTTGTCAATCGCCTTCATTGCGTCGTCTGCATAGCAGATTATTAGTATTAAGTTGTTTTTCTCCCATTTGGTATCCTTTTTTAGTTCTTACTTTTTTTAAGATGCTTTCTCTGTCCTTTTATATGGTGTTGAATCGTGGACCTTGAACGAAGATATGTGCAAAAAACTGAAAGCATTTGAGATGTGGCTATATCGGAGGAGGTCCTTAGAAGAATAAGAACCGAGAGGTACTGACTACCATTAAATCTCAAAAATTACAATTCTGCGGACATATGCGAAATGAATCCAGATATGCTCTCCTTCAAGCCATCCTACAAGGAAAAATATTTGGAAAGCGACGTCCAGAAAAAAGAACATCTTGGTTAAAGAATCTCAGAATCTGGTTCAATACAACATCTGTGCAACTTTTCCGCGCTGCTGCAGATAAGATAAAGATTTCCATGATGATCGCCAACATTCGTAACCGATAGGCACATCAAGAAGAAGAAGAAGAACTTTTTTTATTATTTCATCCATAATCAGGTTGAACAATAGAGGACTCAGGGAATCTTCCTGTCTTATCCCATTGCCAGCTTCAATAGGGTCGGTTAGTTGTTCTTCCACTTTTACTTTTATTGTGTTATTTTGGTAAATATTTTCGATCGTTTTGATTATTCCTAGAGATATCTCTCTTGCGTACAATAAGTGGATAACGTTCTTTAATTT